CATACTGAAGCGTGCGTTACGCCCGGTCTTATACCCGGCTGATTGCTAATCAATCACTCACGCCTGCAAATCAATTTGCCCGTTAAACAATTCGGTCCAATCTCCCATGGAGATCAGCTCCCATTCAGTCGGTCATCGACTAAACGTCTCCGGTACCGACTGAAAGGGAACTACATTTTTAATGATAAAAAGAGATAAGATAAACACAGCTCTTATTTTCTTTTGAAATGATACATATCTTTTAAAAAAAAAGCTGTAATACTTCAGTGCTGTCAAATCTGATTTGCCCACTTTTTATCAACCCCTTGATTGTGTTCACTTTTAACACTTCTTGTCATTTTATAATGGATGGTGTTGTGACGGCACTTGTTCAGTCATCCTCATGCTGCTGTATCGCTGTTCTGACACGTCTGATCCTTTGACTGATGCTCACTCATTCATGTGTGCTTTCATTTCTTACCCGCCTCATTCATTCTAATGTGCTTTATCCTAAGCTATAGGTTTCATTCAGATTGGGTCTTGTTTTTAATCATAATTACTTTTTTCTATTGATTTGTGCAGTCTTTAAATAATGGCTCATCGTTTACATCTAGCACGTTGTTGTTGTTTTGCAGAATCACCATTCTTTTTTACTAACCGTGTGTTATTGAGGTTTTGCGATTTTTTTTTCAACATTACACGATAGCCCTAGGAGACATGATCTTAGTTCTTATAAAGGTCAAACATACAAGTTAAAAACAGCATCTCCTTCACTTCTCCTTTAGCGTGACAGTAGACAGTAGCAGAAGGTGGACTGCTTCCCTCTGGGTCTTTGCCTGCCCCTATAAAGAGCCATTTTCAGCCAGACCACTTTGCATATATTTCCATGAATTTGTGAGCCTTTATCCTGTAGTCAGATTGTTTCACCATGACTGGAGACAGATTAAAAATGGGGTTTTATTCCCCATGTACTGTTAGACTGTCTCACAGTACAAGAATTAAAAAATCAATCATGTTGAACTGAGGCAATTAATGTCTGCATCATAAATATGTGCTTGGAGTGTCTAATGATGTACACTCACCGGCCACTTTATTAGGTACACAGTGCTAGAACTGTGTTGGAATCCATTTTGCCTTCACAACTGCCTTAATCCTTTGTGGCGTATATTCAACAAGGTACTGGAAACATTGCTCAGAGAGTTGCTGCACATCCATGATGCTCCAAAGGTGACCTCTGGCATCAACTTGTACATTTGCATGGTCGCTCACTGGATATTTTTCTCTTTTTCTGACCATTCTCTGTAAATCCTAGAGTTGGATATGTGTGAAAATCCCTTTAAATCAGCAGTTTCTGATTTACGTAAGTCACGTAAACAGTTGAACTGCTGAAGATCGTCTTGGTCATCCATGCCTAAATGCATGGAGTTGCTGCCATGTGATTGGCTGATTAGAAATTTGTGCAAACGACCAGCTGGACAGGTGTACCTAATAAAGTGGCCAGTGAGTGTCTGTCTTCTACATTGCAAACTGTTATGTTTTCATTATTACTGCTTTAGAAAGGGTTGGTTTTTAAAAGCTTTGCTATGGCTCAGCCCGTAGAGCATGGTGCTTACAACACCAGAGGTCATGGGTTTGATTCCCACAGAGAGAAAGACCTGCCTAAAGCCAGGGCAGACTCTTCTAGCTGTTTAAATTCTCTGACGGATTCAGCTCCTTAAAGACAAACTCAGAGAGAGTGGGGAGAATCGTTTTCTTGCAGGCCATTTTGAGTTTGATCCAGAAAACCCCAATATTACATAGTGTCTCTTACCTGGACTGGAAGTTCAGCACATCGGCACATTATGGACTGACTGTCACACATAAAAACCTTCGCAAGTATTAAGTTTTATTTCTTTTAATATTTTTAAATTGACTGTAAGTCATTTCACTACATGTCTTCAAATTTATCTTTAAATGTAACTTCTACAGAAATTAAAGGGGGCCATACCTTTTTCAAAGCGTTTTGAATAAAACCTGGACCCTCCTAGATTAGCCATGCAACTTTCGAAATGCAACATTTATCATAAACATGGTCTTTGAGTCATTTCAGTCTCCCCCAAATGCACCTTTTACCTCTGTTCTGCCATCGCTATGCCATGGCCCGTTTTCAGCCTAGAGGTCAGAACTTGATGAAACATCTGTGCAGAGCAACTTTTTAATGCTTTATTAACTTTTTTTAATGTGTATGTTTTTAAAATGCTTACACGTGATGTTCTAGTCCCTTATATGGACGTCTATCTGGAGCATTTTCTTTCCTCAAAAAATAATATAGGGTTTATAAAAACATGTAAAAAAATAATTAGATGGCTAAAGTTTGTACTCAAACTTTGATGTTGGCTTATAAAAGTTCCATTTAGAAGTCTTTTATAAACAAAAAAAAGGTAGCCAAGGTAGAAGTTTTGGTTGTTATAGAGGAGTCAGTGACATCATACAAAGTTCCAAAGCCAAGATGACTGATCTAAACCAACCTCTGTGCCTATGGTTTCCGTTACCCGAGATAGTGATATGACAAAATGGTTGCTATGGTAAACTGTTTGGTTGCTATGGAGGGGCCAGTGACAATGTTGCCTTTGTCTCTATAAGTTATATAAACCAAGCCCCTAATTCTTTATCGTTTACAAAAGCTCAAATAGAATTTAGGAAAATTGATTGATAGGGTAAAACAATTTAATTGCTAGGGAGCTTTTAGTTATTAACATAAACAAAATCCCCATTTCATGTTGAAAATCTTTTTGTTACCATTTCCTATTGATTTTCCATGACTATTGCTAGTCAATGGTAAATATTTAACCCCTTCTAGAGCCTGGGGTTACTTTAGCGCACTTTAGTGATTGACAAGTTCTTACACAGACAGATAACCTTTTGAAGTTTCCTTTAACTTCTCAGTTGTACAAACCTTTCCCCCGTGCTAAGTCGATGGAAATGAAAAGCAAAAGGCAAATAGCAATATTTTGCACAATAAAAATAAACCATACTAGAAATATATTATTGCAGTAACAGATGCTTGAAACAAATGCAGATTTCTACTAACAAACAAAATCTTTTAAATAACTAAATTTGAATACGTTTTGAAGAATTCAAACACGTATGTTTTGCTCCATTGCCTTTAGCTTCTATATCTGTTTCAATTACAGTTTAGACTAAAGGTCTAGACTGTGCTCTTTAGAAGTGTTCTTAAGAAAGAAATTTGGAATTAGCAGGTAGTACTTGGAACCATTTGAATGCTCACATTTCTTGACAACCCATCAAAAGAAATTATTCCCAACTCAACCTTTTTATAACTAGGCTCTTGCTCTTGATTTCATGTCTATCACCCCCTAATAGCTTCTCTCCATGAGCTGCCACATGAGATATCTTCTACCAATATATCAAAATGAAGCAATTAAAATCAGGAAGGAAGTTATTTCCGGGTGGAATTAGGTCCAGTATCCCAATATAAGTCAGTCTGGAGGGATTGAGTAAGCAGTCATACCAGCAGAGGTACCTGTTATTTTCCTTCAGGCCTCTGGCTATGTTGGTTGCAAGATGTGTCATAGGCTTGTGTACACAGAGCCTCAGCTGGCATGTATTCGACAAGAGATTGCTTGGCACTTGGATGGTGTAGGGATTCTAGCAGGTTAGGTGATGCTGACTCGAACCGGATGCCGACTTGGGAGAGCAGCATCTGTATCAGCCTGTCAGAAGCTGTTACCCAGGAGCCGTCTCTCCTGACAGGGCCCTGGAGGAGAACCTCGCTCTAATAAAGAGCAGACTGGCAAGCGGTTAAAGAGTGGTGGGTAGGAGCCTCTCTGCACTCCTCACCATCCCCCCAGACCCTCATCAGAGAAGAGCAGCACATACTCGGGCATCCTGGGATTTGGGAATGTCACTCAGTCACACAAAGCCACATCTCTGTGTGAGGGGTGCAAAAATACAGCAGCTGGTGAAAAGTGTGCCAGATTCTTTTTCTCTTTTCCTGATATTGTGACTGATCTGTTCTTATTTCTTCCCTTCGTCCGCAGCATTGTTATCCCTCTTTCAGAGCTGTCATAGATAATGTCTTCTAAGCAAGTAAGCTTGAGTCCAAATAATGTCGCTGATAATCACTTCCAGGGAAAGTATTTTGGTTAATATTTATTGACAGAAAGTAAGTTCATTTTACTTGCACTGCATATTTAAAACAGCATAGTGCTGAACAGTAAAAGTCAAGAGAAAGCTGATCATGAAACAAAAATATGGGAAAATCAGCAAGAAGAACAGATTTAACCTTGCCCCCAAAAAAGAAGTAGTGTGTAATGCCAATGAAAGTCATGTTGCTACTTCCAAAACTAGGAATTGAATACATTACTGATATGGAAGGGTGGAGTAAAAATTCTGAGAGAATTTAAAGAAAACCTCAAACCGCATTAGATTAATTTCAAAAAGCTAGAATTGGTGTAATATGATCATATTTATTTGCCCTGGTCAGCAGCCTTGCAGTGGTGATTGCACCATTTGAAGCCATGTTTAAGAATGCGGAAAAGCTGAAATGAAGTTAGAAATAATCTTCTACAACTCCTGAAAAACAAAATAATTCTTTCTAGTGATGATTATTGATTGAGCTTATGTGTTTAGTTAAGTAATGTGCAGAGTCTCCAGATCCTCGACATGGTGCTTGCCAAGCTCATTTGTAGAAATGCTTGCCAAGCTAAGTTATAGAAACGAATGGAGAAACATTTCTGAATGTCACTTAGGCAAACTAGACGGGGTCAATGAAATTGTCATAGAAACATCATGGCTTCTTATAATATCTACTAAGGATTTCATACTTCACATAAATAAAAAAATTGATCCTTGAGGTACACCCCAAATGCTAGAAACATTACTGTAGAGATTCACCCAATTAAAAAAATGTCAAAGTATTAATATAATTTTTTAAGCACATTTCAATGCAGAAATACAGTCTGAGCATTCAGCAACATCCAAAAGAACTTCAGTAAGACAGATGTGATTTCAAGTAAAAAATAAATAAATAAAAAACAACTACTGGACGATCATTTCTGAATGCCACCTGAAAGGCAGGCCAATAAGGGCTCAATGAAATCGTCATAGAAACGTTATAGCTTCGAATAACATCTACTAGGGTTTCATACTGCACACAAACAAAAAAAGAATTGGACCTAAAATAGATCCTTGAGGTACACTACAAATAATGTAAGCAATAAAGGCTGCACCCAATTTAAAGTATTTAGAATGTAATTTTTTGTAAAATTTCCTTGCAAATCTACCGTCCGAACATACTGCAACATCCACAAGAACTTTATACACAGATGATTTAGTCAAAGTCATAGAAACTACTGGACAATGATTTCTGAAGATCACCAAGGCTGACCAAGAAGAGTTACTACTCTGTAGATTTCTATAGATTTCTAATAACATCTACCAAGGGTTTCATACTGCAAATAAATAAAAATGAGTTTGACCTAAACTAAAACCATGAGGTACACCACAAATAATGGAAGCAATATGTAAAGATTTACACAATGCAAATTTCAATGCAGAAGTACTGTCCAGCCGCAAGAACATCGATACATTTGTTTCTGACTGTTTCAACTGGGGTTCATTTAGCAGAGCTCTATTGCTAATGATCCCCCCCATCACAAGCTCAGTCACATTTCAAAGTCAGTCAAGTGAAGCAAGCGTCATTCTCTAATAATTGAAGAAGGAATTGAATGCGACGGAAGACTCACACCAGTGTCCTTGTGCAAGTACTCCGTATTCACGTTCTGCCACTCATTAAGGTCAGCTCATCCCTTTGGTACGGAACTAATGATCTATCAAAAACGCAGTTTTCTGGCCAGGTTCCCTGGAGCTTTTACTTCGTCACAAATTCTGTGCCAAGCATTCGTTACACCACATGCCCGGCTGACGGGGCCACTCAGAGACACTATCTCTGTCTTTTGTCACCAACCATGGGTGTTCCAAGTGTTTGAAGCATTACATCTTCTCAGTGGAAGTGCCACTCGTGATGGCTCAGCTTTTTCAGATTGCTTTGTGTGCATGGTTTTTCGTTTCCAGGGAAGGTTGGTTGTATATCGGGATATCACTGGAATTCAAACAGGCAATGTCCTGACTTGTTTCTTCATTCCTCAGGGCTTCGACTCCATCTTTGACAGGTTTGTTTTCCTGATAAGGATCAGCTGATGTTACTGATACACAGCCAATAGGCTTAACATTATCTTAATGGAAGAGGAAAAGCATCCAGGCAGACTTCTTGTCTGTGACTGTCTCTGTACATGTCAGAGTGAGCTGTGTCTGATGCCTGTTTGCAGTCACAGCCACTCACTCACCAAGACTGCGAGCATCGGTCTGGCCTCTCGTGTTTCTTGAGTCACGCTGCTTCAGCTCTCATAATGTGCCCACGGGTGAAAAGAAATGCTACATAATGCCTAATGAATCAAATGGGTAATATCGTGTTTCACAATGCATAATTAACTTGCTATGGTTGTTTCATCTCAAGCTGTTGTGTATCTACGTAAGCTTTTCGATCTCCATATTAGATCAAGTGCTCGCAGTCTGTCTCACCATATGGGAGATTTGCCTCTGCACTCATAATGCTTTGCTGTTTTTCTCACACTTTCGTACAGATATCGAA